AACGGCAGTGTAACGGCGTCAAACGGTCGGGACCATATTACAAACAGACTAAATGTTGGGGGACCATATTGCAAACGGACAAAATGTTGGGGGATTGTATTGCAAGTTTTAAAATTTGAAGGACCTAAATGAAAGCTTTAGAAAAGTTCAATGATCATTACTATATTTTCCCTAAATATAAATGCAAGGAACATATTCCTAATCAATAGCGCAGTGGCAGTTGCTCGAGACTTTGGAAAGGGTTGGGAGTTGTGTAGAATGATGTCCGAAACAATATTTGTTGGTCTGTTGGAAATAGGAGAGATGTTGATCTCTGGATGGATGAATGGGTACCGAACACGGGCAAACTTGTTGCTTACACTCCACCGTCCTATATGTGTAATCTTCAAAAAGTTTGTGTGGCTGACATGGCTGAAGCGGATGGTAGTTGGAGGTGGAATTTGTTTCAACATTTGCTGCCTTGGAATATATTACTACACATCGTTGCTCTCAAAGGTCCTAAAGCCTTTCTTCATTCGGATTGTATTGGTTGTATGGATTGTGATGAGAAGAAATTCACCATTAAATCAGCTTACTCTATTCGTACAAGATTGTCAGATGAATCGAATGAGCTGATTTGGAAGCGCATACAGAATTATCGTCGTATTCAACGGATAAAGATCCTCATGTTGCTTGTTTTTCAAAAAAAAAAGATTATGACCAATGAAGAAGGAACGCGTAGACATTTTACTGTGGATTCCCTCTGCCCGGTCTGCAAAGCGGAAATTGAAACGATCGACCCTGTACTCCTCTTTTGTCACAAAGCCATTACCAAATGGACAAGTTCGTCAAGGGTAATATGCTTCTGCTTTCTTGCATATGAAGTTGAATAAATGGGTGGGAGCGAACCTCAACTGCTGCTTCTGAGTTTGCGATTATCACACATGAATGTGACCTTTTTTTGGGTTTGTTTTATGGGAGTTATGGAGGTCTAGGAATGCTCCAGCTTTTAACCAAGAGGAGGTGCAGGTTAGGTCCGTCGTGGAACGCAGCAAGCATCTTTTCGCTACTATGGAAGGAACATTAACTACCCGACTACAACCATCAACATGGTTCCAAGGTCTTTGAATGGTTCTAACCAATGGAGTCCGCCTGAGGTCGATTGGATTAAATTAAATACGGATGAAGCGGTTAATTTTGAAAATGGTAATGCTTCTTGTGGATGAGTGTTTCGTGATTATACCGGACAATGGTGTATGGGTTTTTCTAAATTTATAGGGGTTTGCTCGGTTACTGATGCGGAATTATAGGGGATGTATGTTGGATGTGTTTAGCTTGGGACTTGGGTTATCGTCGTCTCATTGTCGAAACAGATAGTTTACGGGGTATTCAATTGGTGACTAGCGTAAAATATTGGTTGGGGTCTCCAACAATTCTTCACTGTATCAAAGAACTTCAGATGAAGCAACGTGTAACACTCTCAACTCGTACTCGACCCGGATACGAGTCCGAGATGTCACATTGCCTTTTTAAAACAATACGCTTGTACAAAATAATAGAAAATTTAAACTTATATTAAGAAATCCAATAATTTACATAAGTTTAATACAATAACTTACAAAAATAATCATAGCATATACAATTTAAACTTCTGATTACATGCCAACATTGATTTTCATAACAAAATAACCTACTGTTTAAGTTGTTTCTGATCTGATATATGCAGGAGTGATGCTGTCTCAGCTGCCTACCCTTGCTCGTCTAACTTCTTGGATCCTACGTGTGAAACACTTACACGCTAAATCATTGACTTAGTGAGGCATAATATGTAATAATACTACAATGAAATGGAGTACAATGCATTCACATATTCATTCAAGGCAACTTACATAATCTTGCATTCCACACATAAGCTTATCACATTAGCAATTATGAATTTATATTAATACTTTCATTAGCTCATGATACAATACTGAAAACTTAAGGTAAGTGAGTGCATTGAGGTCGTGCACAAATGCTGTCACCACAGCTCGTATAAAATGCACTGAAATGCCACGTAGAAATGCATCGAATTACCTCGTAGGAATGCACCAAAGTGCCATATAAAATGTCCATAAGGACCACATAGAAATCTCCTTAAGAACCATATACATATTCCAAAGGACCAAATATGTGTCTCAAATGACAACATTTATGTTCCAAAGGATTACATATACGTCCCAAAGGACCACGTAGACCCTCGACTCTTGGCATGCCAATTATACCTATAGTTCTCATCTACATAACATGAGCTTTTCATAATTCACGTAGTTTATATCTAATAGACATTCTTAACTTTTATCACATCGCTTATGTAAACTTCTCATACATATTCACTTAGATCATTGTCATATAATTCATATCATATGAGTTCATGTCATGTATCGTATCATGTAATGCAATCATGTATTAACTATGTTGGAACTAGACTTATCACAAGTCTATTTTCAATATCATACTATAATTATTCTATACATATGCACTCACCTATATTTCATTGTCTTTCTCTCGATCAATCTTACTCGTCAACTATTTCGGAACTTGTTTATGCTTGATATCTACATAAATATGATTTCCAAAACAATCATCAGAATCCTAAACATTATAACTCAATCTTAATAACTTAAACTATTTGCTGAACATAATTAACATTTTCCTTATGAAGTAGTATCGGTACCCAAGGAACAATACCAATACTTCCCTTATAATGGTATTGATACCATACTCGAGTATCGATACCCAATTTGGATTCTGTAATTCCATTTCCAAAAATAGTATCGATACCTGCATTATGGTATCGGTACCCATAGTATCGATGCTACCCCTTTCGATATCGATACCTCATGAAGATGTTGTCTAAAATGATCTTATGGTATCGATACTGTTCATGCAGTATCGATATCTATGCAACATCATAGCCTATAAAAGCTTTGTAGTATCGGTACTTGTTCATCGAGTATCGATACTACCAACCCAAAACATAGTCCCAACATCCGAAAATCATCAACACTTAACTTAATTTCCATATTTAAAGTACCTTTCCTACCACCAAACTCAACTACAATCACTTTAACTATCTCTTACCATTCTTACACTTTATCACCTTCAATATCTCATTCAAATTCTTGAAATTAAGAATCTTACCAAATTTTCAACATAATCCAAACTCAGTTCTAACACTTATTACTTCTTATTCATACTTATGACAAGTCAATTCTAACTTTCAAATTCACTTATTTCATCTTATTCACAATTTCACTTATATACCTCTTACATTTAATCATCCATAATTTACCATTCTTTGAGTTTCTATCTCTTTTTATCTCCATAATCTTTCCTAAGGCTTCATTAACTAAAACCACACCTAAATCTCAAGAATTAACCAAATGAAAACCAACTCACCTTAGCTTATGGAGTTCACGGTTGGAGAAGGAAGGAAGATGAAGAGATGTATGGAACCTTTTCTTTTCCAAATTATGAGCTCCACGTGGTTATAAAATAACCACAACCCATTTTTAATTATTTTCATGCTCAAATGACCAATTTGCCCCTTTTATTCTTCCTTCTTTGATAAATCATCCTAATAACATATTCCAATTAAGTCTTTGAACTTTTCAATTTATCTAATTTAGTCACTGAATTCTAAAATCTCACAATTTGGTCACTAACCTAATGTTTGGGATGTTACACAATGGGAACTAAAGTTTGTTCATATTCGGTGTTCAGGTAATGATATTGCTGACCAACTTGCTAAACTTGTAAGCATTGATGATCTGAGTATTGCCACGTATATACAACCACCTCAAGTAGTGCACAGGATGTTATATGTTGATGCTACTTACGGTTATCCTACAAGTAGTGCTCAAGATCTTGCTGAAGATTAGTTTTTGCTAATCATTGTTTGTTTTTGTTTCTTATGAATCGTCTCTTTTGATGTACTGTTTTTCCAAGGCTTTCTCGATTTTTATTTTGTTATACTATAAAAGGTACTATTTTCCTTCTATTAGGTTTAATGGTTTTTAACGAGACTTTTGGTAGTATTTACTCTTTACCCAAAAGAATAACTTTTAGGTGTGTACAAAAATTATACCTTTTTACTGCATAACTTAAGGTTTATTTGTTTCTCTGTAATTGGATTTTTAGAAAGTGCTTTCATCATTTTTCAGTATTTGATTGGCGAAAAACAGATGATTAATATAATTTATTTTCCTGATCAATTGAATTTTCTTTGCATTTTTTTGAAAATGATTTACAGTCTGATTTTTCGTAAGTCATTTATGAACTTTTCACTTCAAAGCGTAAACACTTAAAATATTATTATTCTATATATTTAATATTAATATATTATTTTAGTATCATTTTAATAAAAATATTAATTATTAAATTATATTTATTGATAATTTTTATAATATTATATTTTTATTTTAATAATATATAATAAATTATTAATAAAACTAATATTATTTATTAATTTCATAAAAACAATATTATTGAATTATTGAATATTTAAAATATATTCCTTAAAATATAATATAATATTCTTATTTTCATATTATAAGTTTTAATAGATTAATAATATTTTATTTTAATAAAAATACAATAATATTTTTATTTAAAAGTGCATATATAATATTTTAATAATAGTATTGACATAAATAATATTAGATAAATTATTTTAATATTTGAAAAATAAGATTATTATTTTATTAATAAATAATATTATTTATTGCATTTGATGTTTATAATAATGAATTTTTAAAAAAAATTATCAACCAATAGAAAATAAATTACACAACATCATCCAAACACTGTAAAATAATTTCTAGAAAATGTTTTTCAAGTAATTCATTTTCTAAAATTCATTTTTCGTGAAATAAATATACTCTTAGTATGTGAAGTTTATACTGAGGTCCATTCGACCTGAGCAATAATGGCCCAAATGCTGAACTATTGACCCAACCCAAGTTTTTCTTCACTGTTAAGTCTACAACATCACTCGCCTTAATCCCTTTATTAATAGTACAATCAATCTTAATACCATTTAGATTCCTATCAACATCATTGCGACCTTTCATTCGTTGATGATATCCAGCAAGCATTACTCCCGCAGTTGTCTTCCCCGCCTTCCATTTGGTAGAACTTTGAAATTGTTTCGTATTATCTTTTGTAACAGCTTCTTGTTTCTATTTAGTGCAATATTGGATTCTTTTACCGACAGTCGGACAGTGCTCTGGGTTGCTTCTCTACGCGGTAGGCTAGCCAATGATGCTCAGTTTGTTGAGAATGTCTAAAAACGCATTGATTGTCGCTTTTGTTGCATCTCCTAATAATAAACTGTGGATTTCCCTTTTGCTTTCTTTTGCTTTGGTGCAAGACTGAGCCCTGCAGTGAACCCTGCTTGAAAGCAACATAATTACGTCAGGTAAACATCCTATTTTTCAATTTTCGCCTTGTTTGACAGCGATATTTTTCATCAAACGGCGCCTTTGACGCAATTTAGTAATCAAACACAAACATGTACATTATGCAGTTTCTAGGTCACGATTATGATAGTATTGACAATATTTTGAATTATAATAGCAGACAAACTCAAGTCTCCTTTCTACAAAAAATAAAACAATAGAACACAAATATTGGTAAAAATAATGAGACTAAATAAACATTGACGGCGAAAAGTGCAATTAACTCTGCTCCCATATGATATCATCTGTAATACCCCACTAGTTACTTCTCTACAATAGGCAGCCATTTCTGCAAGATGCAGACATCAAGAAGAAATAACTTGCCTCACAATCCAAGAAATGCACATTGCTTTCTTGCGTGCTCAGGGATCAGCTTCACTAGCATATCCAAGGCAGAGCAGCAACAATAATCAGTTGCTTGGTTCGATAACAAATCTGTAAAATAGAATAAGCATCAAAGCAGTATAGTCTTTCTTACCATAAGGCTTGAAGTTGAATAGCGGAGGAAGAAAACGTCCATTGGGAAGGCGGGTGTTAGGACCACGTAGCTCATCAAAGAAAGGATGGATCAAAGCCTCAATCTGTATAGAAAAATAAAAACAATCATCATAACATAGTACATATACATATAAAGGAAGTATCTAGCGAACTTTAAATACAATAAACTACACTGAGAATGTGTAGAAAAGTTGATTAGAAGAAAAAGATTAATTGCACAATCTATGACATGACAGATCTAAGCCCCATAAATCATTACCTAAATATGAAAATAACGTTTTTGGGAATCTCATACTTGATTTTTCCCCCATTTAAAATGAAAAAGAAAAAAAAAACAGAACACAGAGAAAACAATAAGAGAGCTGGTAACCAGATTGACACTTACAGCTGTGCTACGAAGGTTAGGTGAGTACTGCAATAATCGAGAAACAAGATCCACAGCTTCTGGAGGCATACGCTTCTGAAATATCTGGTTATCAATGATACATTGATCAATATCAAATACTAGACAGTAGACACCAACTATTTCACAAAGTTAAGAAATGGCATGTCATCTCAACCCCGCTACCTTGTGCCATGGGTGAGCTTTAATTTGGGGAAATTTGAACTCCGTGTAGTTAGGATTCATGCACTTTATTTCTTCTCTTGTTGGGGTACCTAGAACCTGCATCACAATCAAACAAATCAGAAAAAATAAAGAAAAAGAAAAGGTAACCAAAGCATAAATAAAAGTAGGATAAATCAGATATCCAATGTCTAGAATGTCAGATTTAAGAGCCAGCAATAAGGAAAGAATTTGGATCAGTTATTATTTTCCATCCTTCATGATTACTTTAGTATTTCCAGTAACGATCATGTTAAAACAATTATTGAGGATTTTGAACTACAATTTACCTTAATAATTTCAACAAGTTGGTCTACTCCACTCTCACCGGGAAACAGAGGCTGAAAAGGGGGGAAATAGTTAAGTATATAAAGAGAAATGCATATTTATAACGAAACATACAGGCAAGAAAACTTTCTACCTGTCCAAGCAATAGCTCAGCCAAAACACAGCCAGCAGACCAGATGTCAATAGCTGTGGTGTATTCAGTTGCACCGAATATCAATTCAGGTGCTCGATAGTAGCGAGAACAGATGTAAGATATATTTGGTTCCCCTTTTACCTGGAAAAGTAAAACCAAAATTAGACCCATGAACCCTTAGATTGTGTCTACCCTCCCCAACACACACAACAAAAAAAAGGTTTAACATATTAATTTGTACATACCAAAACTTTTGCACTTCCAAAATCACACAGTTTTAGCTGGTGGGTGTGTGGGTTGACCTGTCACAAGAGACCATAGTATTAATGAGTTTGAATTCATAAAAGTATGAACGAGTCAATTACTACATAATGATAAATAAACCCAACATCATATGCGAACAAAGATAATATAGGTAGATTAAATCATTCCTCGATATGAATAACAAGACACATTTCCACTCAACAACGAGGAACAAGTAACAATATCATTGAGTAAAAAGGTGATAATACTGCTATAATTTTAAAGACACATTCTAATCATATTTTTGCAATAGCGAAGCTCCTCAGCATAAGTTCCGATTTTACACTATATCATATTAGCATGCATGCATTAGAATGCTAGATTAAATTTTTTTCCTTTTCCAAACTCCTGGTGATCCTTTTAGGTCATTAAGGTGAAACACCACTGTTTCTGGACAATGTTTCTCAGCCAATAGAACAATTGTATAGCAAGGTGCTTGACATTATACCAATAAGTTTTGAGGCTTTATGTCCCTGTGGCACACACCAATACTGTTATGAATGTAATCAAGCGCTCTGCAAATCTGCATAAAGACAAGAATAACACCAGTTCAGGGTAAGGATTGCATATAAACATGGATTTCTTGTTTGTAATAGACAGAAATAAGATAAAGAGTGTGACTATTTAACCAATATCATACCTGGTAAAAATAGAGTTTAACATATATCAGTGGCATCCTTTGATTCATCTTATTATAATGTTTGATAACACGGTGGAGGGTTTCTGGAACATACTCAAGCACCAGGTTAAGATAGAGCTCATCTTTTTCAGTTGTGGAAAAGAAACAATGCTTCAAAGAGACGACATTAGGGTGGTCCAGGAGGCGCATGGTTTGCAATTCACGGTTCTTGTATCTCTTGTCTTGAAGAACCTTTTTTATAGCAACGGTTTCACCCGTCTCTAAACATTTAGCCTGAAATGCCACATAAATAGTTCAGATAAAACCTTAACCTCGACTTAGAATATGAAACTGAACATCTTTCAGATGAACAAATAATGAGGATGAAATAAATCTGCACCTGGAAGACAACACCAAATGACCCATTCCCAACAACACGCTCAGCCATGTAGCTTATTGTCTGAAATGATAGACAGATTAAGTTACAGAAATATAAACAAACATCAATAAGACAGAAAAAGTCCACCAATTGAGGAGAAAATTATGAACTTGACTAACCTGCTTTGGCTGGCCATTTTTACCACCAATAGTGGTGACAATTATATGCCCTGCCTCAGTTCCATTCCCATCAACTACGGTTTCTTCCACTTCCTGCAGCATAGTAACAGATTTCGTAAAACCAATCAATCTGAAAGATGTACGATCAATTCCCGAAACAAATAAACAAGAAAATTAATAGCATACCTTGTCGTCCCTAATTTTCATAACATTCAGTTCATCAGGCAATCTATCAACACCAACTGTATTTCCACTATGTTCTATTACTCCAGAAGTAGGCGCTATGCTAACTGAAGCCATTGCACTAAACTAAAAGCAAAATGAGAACTCACAGATCCTCTGTTGAAAATCACATATCTAAACCAGCAAAACAAGTCAATAAATTACATGTAAAACACAGGAAACGGTGACAATGGCACCCCAACAGCTAAAAAAAACTATATTCCTCTGGAAAATATAGTAAACTAATACATAAAGAAAAACACGTTTCCCGCCGCAAATATACATGAAGTTAGATCAAGCAGAGATCTGTTTCGTCTTAGTGCGCTAAGTTCATCATAGTTTATTTTACACAAGAAGTTAACAGAGTAAAACCATCTACTAAGAAAATGAAAGTTCCTTTTTCAAGAAAAAGAGATAATACCCGAAACCCTAGAAGGAAAGAAGGATCTAAGATGAAGCAAAAATGTCGATCCGACAGCCAAACACAAGAAGCATTAGACTCAGAAGAGTAAGGAAGGAAGAAAATAATTACCGATCGGATCAAGAAATCCGGGGAGAAAGAAGGGAATCATGGAAGGAATAATACGGGCATCGAAATCCGATCTTTAACGGTGAAATGGCATTTTTGGAGTTTTCTCAGATGAGAGAGCTTTGAGCTTTCTTCTTGTGAGGGTGGATCAAACTGATGAGCCCTAACATTTATGGTTATTTTAAGTTTTTTATTAAAAGGTAATTAAATTGCTGGCATGTCAACAGTAAGTAGGCTTTCTTTTTGACCGTTCAAACCTGGGGTGGCCCCACCTTCTGCTTTCTCTCACTCCAAACTATTTCCATTTTGTCTTTATAAATCTGTAAATTCGGTGAATTTATTAATGAGATCCTTATTATACCATCTGTTATTTATTCATTAGTAATAAGTGTTGATTAAGAAGTTAAAGCCAAATGAGTTCAACTCTTACGGTATAATATTATTTATAGCCAAAATAATGATTTCTTTTAATTTGACAATTATGATCTTGTTTAGAGTCATGTATATTTGTGACAACTAGGGGTGGATGTATATGTCTTCGTAGGAGTGTCATTGCACGCTCATTATTTTAAGAAAATTATTAAATTTATTTTAATTTGTTAATGGAAATAAGAAAAAATAAGAAAATTTATACACCCAATTTTTTTTAGAATAAAATATTAAAATTTTGAGCCTCATTTTTCAATTTCTAGATCCGTCACTGGTGATAATAATCAGTTATGCTTAACGTTTTATTAGATTCACTGATGGCAGCAATGAGTTGAATTAAAATTTTATCAATTTTGTTGACGATAACAATAAGTTATTATGATTATAAATTATTTATAAGTACATAGTTTGAATTAAAAATTAAAAGAATTAAATTATTTTACATAAAACATACATGACTCAATTGAGTATATGTACAAAAAATAAATTTATATTAAATATTTAAATCTAAAATTTGTGAAGGGAACAGTCCTTTCCCATCTTTCAATAGATTTGTTTCTGATGAATCATTTATTTTTATTTAGATGAGAGAAGAGTCATCGGTCAATGTTAATATTCTATGTTCCCATAGTAAGATAGTAAATAAGTGAGTGAGGGTTAATGGTTCTATATAAGTTATCTTCTCTCTCTTAATTTTGGTCGAAAGATTTTATAGTGAATCTTGGAGATGTGTCAGATATAGAGTTGTTATAGCTATTTGTAGGATAACAAGCTAGGTTGATACGATCAGATGACGATGGATTTAATCAAATAGGTCATGTAGGTCTATTAGAGGTCATGCCAACATATTATGATTTTGATTTTTCAAAGAATGTTAGGTTTCCGATGACTAAAAGACATTCTCTTTATGTCTTTTGGAGTTTCAAGGGTTGATATTACATGTTCAAAAGAAATTAGGAAACTTGATGAACTATCTATAGTTTTATTTTCTCACGTAAAACTGGAATAGTGGTATGTATTTTATTACAGGCTTGAGTGAACTGTCAAACGGACTTTTCTTTATTTTATGGGGTCATATTACGTACTGCTGATGATTGAATTTTAATACAATTCTACATTGAACCATTCAAGCCGCTTTCTACACAGTACTACTACCTCTTATTTTTCTTCACATCAACCGTGTTGGAAATGAGAAAAAATATGATTTTCCATAGAACCTTATATTAATTTAGATTCCAAAACCCCATGTGGCGTGGCATTGGATGGATAAAGATGAATGCTTTTGTATTTTACTGTGTGCTATCCGAATTTCGAGTAGTTAAACAAATACTATGAAAAAATAAATTAGGGTACACTTCAAAGTTCAAGCCCATCAGAATCACGTTTGCCTTTGAAGATTGTATGGAAGATGTGTGCACAAGTCAGTCAGCACCCACAAAATGTGACCATCTTGAGGCCCTTTGGTTCAGTCCAAATTCATGTATTTGACATTTCAATGACAAGTAGTATTTCATGCTGAGTATACATGTGGGTTCTAATTTTCTTTGATTCATTTTTTTTTTCAAATTTGTTTTGTATTTTATTTAAAAAAAATTGAGTCTGAATTGAATCGAATCAAACAGATTCAAACTAATATAAATAATTTTATATTGGTAGACAATAGACTTGTTATGAATTGGACCAACCGAACAATTTTTTTTTTCAAATATAAGAAATAAGGTAATATACATAAATGATCTTTGACCATAGACATCACATTGTTAAGTCCTTTAACTATTAAAAATTACGAAATGATTTATTGACTATATGACATTTCTTTGTTGGATTTATCTGTTCAAATATTCCAAACTCGTCATTTTCTGGAAAAAAAAATTGACGATAGTCTGGGTTGGACGTTAACTTATTGATTATGATATGATAAAATGTGATCCTTATAACTATTATATCTCACTCAACAAATTAACGTCTAGCTTAGATTGTAACTTTTAATAGTCGAGGGACTCAACAAATCAACGCCTTATAGTCGAAGGACCATTTGGTGTACTTTACCCTATATTAATATTAAATAAATAAATATATTAATATCTATATAATCAAAATTAAATTAAATAGTTTAAAATGATTAAAGAAATCATCCTAAACATGTTGACTTTAAAATATTTCTTAGTAAGACTAAAGTAAATTTTGGAATGGATCCCGCTCGAAGGCAATGAAAGATTCGTCGAAGGCTGCTAGTGTTAATGGAGTAACTAAACATGTAAAAAAATAAAGATGAGATTCGATTCGATTCTTCGATAGAGTCTATAATTTTATTAATGAGATTTTCAGTTATGGTTCAACTACTTGAAAAGTATGTTGGTTTTAATAAAATTACAATGGAATCCGATTGACAATATGATGCTGATAGACATCCACAATGAATACTTCATTGTTAAATTTGCATTAAAAGAGGATTACTATAAAGTCCTTTTTGATGGACCATGGAAGTATTAGAATATTAAAACCAGAAAAATATTGAAGTATTATCTTTCTGTTGTATGTTAGTTTGTTAGCCAATTTTTGGGCTATTGTTATGTATTCGGTTAGTTGGTTGCCTTTCGGCCATTGTATAAATATTGGGCTCCCCTTAATGAGATATGACATTATGATGTAAACCATTCTTTTTTATTATTTGTCAAAATCCCTAAATCATTTTTCTTCTTAACAGATTCCTCTACTCATCATATTATGAACTCTAACTTGGTATCAGAGCTTCTATATTCTGGAGATTCATCAGTATGTTCGTCCGATATTTATCATTTGCTTATCTTTCATCAACATGTTCGTCAGAGATTCTTCGTTCGATCATTCTTGCAGATCGCTCATCTGGCTCGTGTTAGGAAATAAACCAAGTACAAGTAATTTTCCTATAACCAGATTAGTGAGAATGCGAAATAAAAACAGAAAAATAATACCCGAAATTGATAATGGAGTTCAGCCAATTTGCTTACGTCTCCGGACTGCTGCAGATCTTTTACTAAGAGAGAAAATTTACAGGTGTTTACAAAACACTCACTACTCACAAGAAAACTCTCTAGTATTGGGAGAAAGAAATGATTTTTTGGGATGGTTTTGAAGCTAAATGAGCTAGGGTATTTATAGTTGAAACTTAAGGACTTAATCTTGTAAATACCCTAAAACCTAGGGATTAATTGCGATTATCCCATTATCATTTTTCAACAAACATCTACCAAACTTTGAAAAACTATTTTTCAAAGAAACATTTACCAAACTTTGAAAACCATTTTCAAAGAAACATTTACCAAACTTTGAAAATCATTTTTTCAAAGTTGGTTACCAAACTTGAAAACCATTTTAATACTTTCAACAATCTCCCACTTGAAGACTGATTTTAATCTGTCTTCACACCTCGATCTATGCAACAGCTTTTCTAGTCTTGTTACTCTATCATGCCAACTGAAGTTGAACACAACTTCAGTTTGTCTGTAGTCACCGTCTTTGTCAACATATCTGCCAGATTTTGAGCTCCACTGATCTTTTCAAGTTTCAAAATCTCATCTTCCAGAAGAGACCGGATAAAATGATATCGCAATTGTATGTGCTTTGTCCTGGAATGAAAAGACGGATTCTTTGCTAGATGTATAACACTTTGACTGTCGCAATACAAGACATTATTTTCTTGTTTCTTGCCTAACTCTTCCAAGAAACTTTGGAGCCAAACCATCTCCTTGCTAGCTTCTGTAACAACGACATATTCTGCTTCAGTTGTGGAGAGAGCAACTATCTTCTGTAGTTGGAAACCCAACTCACTACGGTTCCTCCTAGAGTATAGACATACCCTGTTGTGCTCCTTCTGATGTCAACATTTCCGGCTAAGTCAGCATCTACATAGCCTGTCAGTATCGTATCTCCACCTTTGAAACAAAGTGCTTTGTTTGTGGTACCCCGCAGATATCTGAGGATCCATTTGACTGCTTCCCAGTGTACCTTGCCCGGATTATTCATGTACCTGCTAACAGCTCCCACTGCTTGAGCAATATCTGGTCTGGTACAAACCATGGCATACATCAGACTTCCAATCGCTGAGGCGTACGACACCTTCACCATGTGTGCACGTTCTTCCCCCGTCTTTGGTGACTGTTATTTGGAGAGTCTGAAATGAACACCTAAAGGTGTACTTACTAGTTTAGCATCTTGCATGTTGAACCTGGAGAGTACTTTGTTGATGTACTCAGCCTGTGATAATATCAAAGTCCCTGACTTTGTGTCTCTCTTGATCCTCATCCCAAGAATCTACTTTGCAGCGCTCAGATCCTTCATAGCAAACTGCTTTGACAATTTTTGCTTCAAGTTTATAATCTCTTGCATGTCTGATCCTGCAACGAGCATGTCATCAACGTACAACAATAAAATAATGAAGCTATTGTCGAACCTCTTGATGTAGCAACAATGATCTGCTTGGCATCTGGTAAAACCACTGCTACTCATGAAACTATCGAACTTCTTGTACCACTGTCTAGGAGCTTGTTTTAAACCATACAAGCTCTTCTTCAACCTGCATACCAGGTTTTTCTTGTCTGCCTCTATGAAGCCTTCTGGCTGCCTCATATAGATTTCTTCCTCCAAATCACCATGAAGAAAAACTGTCTTTACATCTAACTGCTCAAGATGTAAATTCTATGCAGCTACAA